CCAGAGTGCTAGGATTACAGGCGTGAGCCACCGTGCCCAGCCATGGAGTTTTTTTTTTTTTAGAGCTAACTTTTAGATTCCTAAGATGGATCCTTGGTTTCGGCAAAACCACACATTCTATTTATAGGTTTTGAACATTGAACTTTCTTTAGTAATGATGTTTAGAGCTCTAAGGCCCTAATGTCAGAACTTTACATATCTTAATGAATAGAAACCTAATAGTTGTGACTGAGTAACTTAACTGATAACAAATCATTTAACTTAAAACATTAGTGAAATTTAAATAAGCAGAAGAAAATATTTGCTTCATGATTTGCATCTTTACCTGTCATTTATACAATTTAGCTACCCTTCTGTTTGTAGGTGGAAAACCATGAATTCCTTGTTAAACCTTCATTTGATCCTAATCTGAGTGAATTAAGAGAAATAATGAATGATTTGGAAAAGAAGATGCAGTCAACATTAGTAAGTGCCGCCAGAGATCTCGGTAAGAATGGGTCATTGGAGATTGGAATAATTCTTTTGTCTACACAGTGTCCACACCGGTGCCAGAATTATTTTACTAATTTCCCATCCCAAAGATGACACATTCTTTCCAAACAGAAATTACCCAGTAGGCCCTTGCATGATGTCATTTAAATAAGACCTATTTTAAATATCATGTCCACTGTAAGCCTGATTCTCCTAGGAATAGTTCATTGATTTTGTTTGGGGCTTTCTAACCACCTCATTAATATCAACGTTTTTTAAAATGTCTGTCTTCTATACTAGGTTATTAGTTCCCTAAGGGTTCACACTTTTATTCTAGATTTCTAAACAACTTTTTCTTTAACACTTTTTAAAAAACATGTTTGTTGAATGAGTAAATGAATCCTAGAATGTTAGAACTAGAAAACTCCTTGGAGCAGTGATATTTAATCTTCTGGATAATCTGATTAAAGTTATGGATCCTCTTCCCAGAAATATGCCCATACCTACATATATTAATACAAAAGATTTGTCAGTAGTTTCCATGGAGAATCCAAATAATTAAGAACCTTTGTCTTAAAGCTATTGAAGTCCACCTTCCTCATTTCATAGCTAAGTTATTGTATATTTCCTTAATGATTTAAAAGTACTAACATATTTCTTTCTTTTCACCATATGTTAATTTGGTTGGCTAGAAATTTTTCCACTGATACTTGTTTTATGAAGAAAAAATTCTGTCAAGAATACATCATTAGTATATGTTAATTATTGCCTGTTCTTGGTCTGTTTTATTGAATGCTAATGAGAAAATTAATGGCAAACGTCTATTTTTACAGTTTAAATTAAGTTTAATTTCATTTTAGAATTAAATAGGTTTGTTTTATAAAAGAATTATATCAAAAGCAACATAAACAGCACTCAAACTGGGAAGGAAACACTGTAAAAAGCATTAGGCTGGGAATTGGGAAACATGAGTTCTAGTTTCAATTTAGAAACTTTGTGAAGCTTTTTACAAGTTTCTGGTTTTCAGCATATTCTTTTGTAAAATTAACAGGTTGGATTCAGTGTTTGGTTTCTCAGACCTACATGTCATCAGAAATACCTTTACACTTTGAGGCTATGAGCCTCATTTTAGAGTTGTGATTTTCATGGTATCCTAAGTTAAATAAATGTAGTAGTCTGTGAATACTGTTGTCTTTCATGTTTGACAGTGTTGCTATTGTTAACATGCACTGAAACACACAGATGAACAGCAAACTGCATCATGTACTGGTGAAAATGGTCCTTTGGCCAGGTACATAATCCCAGCATTTGGGGAGGCAAAGGTGAGGGGATTGCTTGAGGCCAAAAGTTTAAGACCAGCCTGAGGAACATAGCAAGACCCTGTTCTAAAAAAAAAAAGAAGACAAAGAAGAAGAAAGAAATGGTTGTTTTGAAACTTTGATTGATCACTGATTGATTACAGTCTTTCATTGTGGAACTACCCTTTCCCTCTGAATGTTTTAAGAGATCCTGCTGTTCAAATTAGTCTTATTTTTTGCATGGGTCTCAACTGTCCCTTTGTTTACTGGTCAAGTGAGATCTGTCTTTATGTTTTATGTTATGTTAGAGACAGAGTCTCACTCTGTTGCCCCAACTAGAGTGCAGTGGCGCCATCATAGCTCACTGCAACCTCAAACTCATAGGCTCAAGAGATCCTCCTGCCTCAGCCTCCCAAGTAGGTGGAACTGTAGGCACACACTTGGCTAATTTTTTCTATTTTTTATAGAGACGGGGTCTCGCTCTTTTTCAGGCTGGTCTCGACCTCCAGAGCTCAAGTGATCCTCCACCTCAGACTCCCAGAGTGCTAGGATTACAGGTGTGAGCCACTGCACCCGGCCAAGATCTATCTTTAGCTGTTTGCTGCTACTAATATTTGATAGCCATGTTTCAGCAAATAAATTTGTAGATACTATCTGTCTCTTCTGATTTGTGGTCTAAAGATCACATTGATGAATGAAATTGTGAAGTGACTCAAAAATCTTAGTACGTAAAAGTCTAACTGATCAATCAGATTGTTTGCTTTGTGACGTTTCCGATACTTAACAGAAAATATATATACTAATTTTCCTAGAGTTTGATTGTCTGAGTCTCAAGTTTTTGTTTGGAAATTGTATTTGGTCACTTTAATTATACGCTGTGTTGTTAGTGTCAAAGAAGTGCTTTGGTTAAGAAAAGAATCCTCATACATAACTCCTTGAGGGTGGGTCCATGCCGTACCCCATCCTCATGTGCCTGCAATATCTGGGACAGTACGTATTGCTCAGTGCCGGTGCTCTGTAGCCTTGCATGGGTTTACCCAGAAAGCAGCTTCCGTATTAGAAGCTGATATTCAAAAGGGAGTTTAAGGATTTTATAGCTATCATGTAGTTTTCAAGTGAAATAGTGTTTGAATCTTTTCCAGTTAGATAATACTAACCATTTTTGCAGTATAGTGTCATGTCATAAAAGTATGTTTTCTACTATCTAGATTGAATACTTTTAAAGAATTACACTGTAAAATGGCTGTAGGTATTTATGGCATACTTTTTCTTTTTTTCCTGATTATGAAGGCTTGGAGCCTGGCAAACAGATTAAACTGGATTCCAGTGCACAGTTTGGATATTACTTTCGTGTAACGTGTAAGGAAGAAAAAGTCCTTCGTAACAATAAAAACTTTAGTACAGTAGATATCCAGAAGAATGGTGTTAAATTTACCAACAGGTTTGCAAATCTATGTTGTATTTTTAAGCCTTCAGTTGTGATACTTCTCTGATGTAATGTGAATGTTCTATGATAAGGAAGTTCTACCTTATTTATTGTTCATTAATATGGGAAGGTGGAAGGCATTTATCCTTTCTCTTTCTGTACTGTTCTAGAACCTGTGACCTTCCCTACTCCCACCCCTCCCAAATATTCCCAGAACTTTACAGGCAGCTTTTGTATATATGATCCTCTTTCATCCATTTATTTAACAAGTATTTCGAGTGTCTATTACATGCAGACATAATTCTAGTTGCTCAGCCACCCAAGTAAAGAAAACAGTCTGTTTAGTTTGTTCCTCATAACAACTTTCTGAAGTAAATAGGACAGGTATATTTCTCTCATTTTACAGATGGAGAAGCTGAGACTTCAAGTCCTGTGGGTTAGATGGCTAGTATTGGTGAATGCTCAAACCTAGGTGTTTTGTTGTCAAATCTAGTTGTGTTGTTTTCCAGCACACTGTATCTCCTGGTTGAAGAAATGTACATATTTTAGCTTAGATAAGACAACTTTTGGGGTTTCTAATCATCTTCAAAACACCTATGGGTATATGTAAAAGAGATTGGACCGAATGGCCATGTGGTTCCAAAAGTGAAAAATTCACTCACAGATTTTGACCTCCACCTCTGCTTTTATGTCTTGCAGCTCATCCCTTCACCCAGTGGTCTCGCTTTCATGTGTTTGCCTCTTGCTTTGCTTTAATTCTTTCTGCTTGTCTGTAGAAAGAATTCTTTCTAGTATTCTAGTATTCTTTCATAGTATTCTTTTTGTGCTGCTGCTTGCCCATGTACCGTTCTTGAGCTATCCATGTCTACTATGTGCCATTGACTAATTTCAAGTTCACAATTATTGCCTTGGTGAACTGATTTCCTCGCACTTCTAGTAATTACTTCTCCCTCTTTCCTTTTCTATGTCCCATCTTTTTGTTCTTCTTGATTTCATTCCCTTGTTTGATGCCAGTGAATATTTTTTCCTCACTTTATTCTCATCTGCCTTCAGTATTTTTATATTTCAAACCGTAATTCATTTTCTCTTCAAATTGCTCAATAATATTTAGTTTTCAGAACATTTTCCTTATTTTGAAAACTTTCAATATCAAAATATAGTTACGTTACAGTAATGAAAAATACCGTGTGTGTGTGCGCGTGTATGTGTTTTAAAAGGAGTGATGGTCTCCATTCTAAATTAGGATTCCATTTAAATATTTTATAAAAGGGCACAGATCAGAATTTTGCTCAAGGGAGTAATTGTTATAGCAAGAATTGTGCCAATGTGCCATTCCAAACAGCATTAAAGAACATTAATAAACTGAATTCCATCCACATTTAACTGAATTCCACATAAACTGAATTCCAGCCTGATGGGTTGCCCATTTTCTACTTATATTACCATTTTATTATTTCATTGCTTCATAGGATAGATACTCTGGATATGTTTTATGTAGTACACATTACTTCTAGTAGATGTTTTAATATTTTTAATAATGCCATTATCTTGATTTGCAGCAAATTGACTTCTTTCAATGAAGAATATACCAAAAATAAAACCGAGTATGAAGAAGCCCAGGATGCCATTGTTAAAGAAATTGTCAATATATCTTCAGGTAAATTTAATAGAACCAATACATTAAATGTTCTGAAGATAACTTGGTTTTTGGTAATAGAAAAATCATCAGGATATTCGAAGAGTGTTTTGTGGTTTTTTTGTTTTTTAAAGCCATCACACACTGTGACTACTTAATATGTTAGGCTCCCTATAAAATAAGGCATGCTGTATTATGGTAGGAAGTGTAACTGGAAATTACTCTTGTACATAAAAAGGCAAGATAGTGCAGGCCAAGGAATGGGAATACCCTAAAAAACAAAAAATGTGCAAAAAAGCTTAAAACTTACTATAGTTGTAACAAGGAAAGGAAACACCAGGGGCTACCAGGCACTAATGTCTTGGATTATATATGTGTTCATGCTCTAGATTATGGAAATAAATACTACTGAAAAGCAAATATAAATTACACACGAGGCAAGCCCTTTTGAATTCTATGCACCGTTTTGTAGATTTTTAGAGTTCATTGTAGAGGCATTGTTTGAGATGATTTTCTTGTAAATAAAGGCACTGTACAAACTGGCGCTATGTTATTGCCCTTAGAATGAAATGAATGTATGTTTAGCACAAGGTAGGTGGTGATGTGTTAAGTTGTCAGGCTTTGCCTACCATTGTGCATATGTTGACTGTAACCTTTATTGTGCCTTTCAAAAATGCACTAAATATACCATAACCAAGTAATCAAAGTTAGCATCACTAATCATGTGACAAATTACTTTATGTACTTCCTGATATGTTACAGAGGGAAGGATACAATATCACTTATGTAGTATTCTTTTTTTTTTTTTTTTT